TATAGGTAGAGGTAGATAGGTAGATAGGTAGATAGGTAGATAGGTAGATAGGTAGACAGGTAGACAGGTAGATACGTAGATAGGTAGGTAGATATAGATAGCTAGATAGCTAGATAGATAGACAGATAGACAGATAGACAGCTAGACAGCTAGACAGCTAGATAGGCAGATGGATAGGCAGATGGATAGGCAGATAGACAGACAGATAGATAGGGTTTAGGGTTTAGGGCTTAAACTTAAACGTCCAGTCGGAGGAGCCTGCGCCGGAGAAAGATCTTCGCCGGGAGGTCGAAGAGTCGCTCGGCGTAATTCTAGCGGGGGCTTTGTGGAGTTTGAGGGTGTAGGGTCCTAGAGGCTAGGGCCCCAGAGGTTTGGGGCTTAAGTTTGGGGCGTTTTAGACCTGGCATTCCTTTGGTGCGGGATTCAGGAAGTCGGGGGTCTAAACCCTAAACCCTAAACCCTAAACCCTAAAGGGTCCCGGCTTTCCACGGTGGTCTCGGGTTTTGCGGGGTTTTCGTGCCCATTGGGCTTTGAAAAATGGAGCTTCGAGGTTGGTGTTTCGGACTCGGGTTTCGGACTTCCCTTGAACTACTGCAGATGATATACATCCTTAGCATAACCTTAAGGACCCTAAGCTATGGGAATTATGGTCTATTCCCTATTATGGGTATACCGGGTCCTTGCAAGAGGGACGGCATTCCATCGGGATCTCCTACTTCTTTAGAAGGGTTTCCCTAAACCCTAAACCCTAAATTCAGGCTGTTTTCGACTTGGCAGCAGGGAGAAAGGGGCCACTACACATTAAAAAAAAAAAACCCTAAATTCCTTACTTCCTTAGAAGGGGATTTCGCATTGGTCTGGGCTCCGGCACAGACCCACGGACTGAGCCTCGTCCTTGGTGTCCAAGGCTGGGTTGTTTAGGGTTTAGGGTTTACGGTTTACGTTTTGGGGTATACGGTTTAGGGTTTAGGGCTTAGGGCTTTGGGTTTTAGGGTTTGGGGTTTAGGTTTAATTCGCCTGTGGAGCATCTCTGTCACGTGAGCTGCCACCAGCAAGCTTCGAATGAGTCGAAGGAGCATGCTGGAACGATTCATCCAAACCCTCACTCCAAGAGCCCTGCAGTGCCTGAAGATTCACTGCCGGAAATTTGAATTCTGGGATTCTGGGCTGTTGGCTTCTCGGCTCCCTACACTGCTTTTCGGAGCCGCGATCTGTTCTTTCCTTAAATAGGAATACTCTCGACTTTTGTCTGAACCTTTGCTAGGAGTTGGCATAGTTTCTTCGTTGTCGATTTGCTTAGTGCTTCACGTGCTCCCCCAGTGAATCTGCCCCTAAACCCTAAACCCTAAACCCCTAAACCCCTAAGCCCTAAAAAGTTTTGAAGCTGCCATCCGAAAGCCCTGATCCCAAGTCCCTACTTCGAGGCTGAGGGGACCTCGCAAATAAGTTGTGAGTTCGCTTTGATTCGAGCTTTAAGCCATGCGTAAGGCGTAACTAAATGCCCCTAAATTCTAAACCCTAAACCCGACAACTTTCGCAACTGTGCAAAGTCTTGGTTACACCGCCCGACGATCCTATACATCACGTAGTCTTCCCACCAGGATAAAAAGGATCATATTAAGTTTACTAAGTCGGCTCGTCGTGGCCAAAACAGAGGGGTGAAAGCCGCGCGGCCTTCCTTCACCTCTCGGTTTGTCATCCAAACAGAGGGGTGAAAGGAGCGCGGCCTTCCTTCACCTCTCGGTTTGTGATCCAAACAGAGGGGTGAAAGGAGCGTGGCCTTCCTTCACCACTCGGTTTGTGGCCAAAACCGAGGGGTAAAAGGAGCGCGGCCTTCCTTCACCTCTCGAGGCCAAAACAGTGGGATGGTTACGCGCATTTTTCTGATTTTTTCTCTTCTGTTTTTTGATTTTGTTTGTGTTGTTTTCTGTTTCTTGTGTTGAGATTCTGTTCTATTTTCTGATTTGGTCTATGCCGTTTTCTGATTCTGGCTGTGTGATTCTGTCCGGCTGTTTTCCGACATCGCCCTCCCCTTGGTTTCCGAACTTGTCTTCCTGATTTCGCCCGTTGTTTTCCGATATCCTCTTCACTCGCATAGTATTGGGTTTAAGGAAGGGTCTCTAGTGGTGCTATACCAGTTTCTACTCATATTTAGGTTATCTAGTTGACTGGGGTTTAAAGTTTAAGGTTTCGGATATGCAGACACAGACCCTGTGTAGGTGTCGGGAGTACCGTGGTCTGAGTCTAGTCTTTGCAGTCGGATTGGTCGTCTGCCCAAACGGCTCCGCAATGAATCCTTAGAGTTTTGGGTTTAAGACCCAAGCCCTATAAACCTTAAGCCCTAAAACGCATGCGGAGGAGCTGCCAACCTTGTCCTAGCCGCCGCGCGATGTCGGGGTGGCGGCCGCTTGCACGGAATGACGTACCCTGACTTTTCGCCTTCCTCCGAGGCAAATGAAGGAACTGCTGTCCGATTCTCTGCATGTCCAGCCGGGAAGTAGGGAAGCAGCTGTCGTGCGTGACTCTTTACTTAGCAACGGCTCTCCTTAATGACTCGAATAAGCGTTCGATAAGTGCGACGCATCGAGGCCTATAGACACGTTTTGACCTTTCTTGTCGTTCCGTAATTTTGTCGTCATCGTTTGATCTCCTGTGCCATGTATGTTCTTTTCGGTACCCTCGTTTGAGATCTAAGTTGAGCTTCAAGAAGCTAACCCCAAAGTCCGCAGGCCAAAACCGGACACATCTGGGACATTATGATCCGGTTGTTTTGCAAGTTGAAGAACAGGAAGAAAGCGCTAGGCTGTGATGATGAGGCAGCAATGCAGGGACAAGAAGCGAACACCCTTCAGAGACGGTTGAAGTTGGAAATAGTGGCTGTAGATGCATCAGTTCTGAAAGGTCCCCGAGGCCACGTTCATTCTCACATCCGATGGATGTGGCCATCCCGAATGTGGAAGACCTGCCGCAACCAAAGTCCCTTTCGGTCTTGAAGCCCCCAAGATCGACCGTTTTGCTCTGCGTTTTTGCGTCAAAGTCTCTCACAACGAGGACGTGCGGTGCACAGCGGGGTCTCAGTTTCTCGCCCCTGCATCTTCGGGCCCAAACCTGTGACATCGCTTTCCACCTTGCAGGCATTTGAGGCCCGAAGCAGAGGGTACGGAGCAGCTGTCGGACAGCAGAACAGCGGAAGCACAGCACCGGTTGAGGATGTTAGCTGTTAGCTGCCTTTTTGCGAATGCATGTGTGTTCGGTTCAGGGACGGGCGTTTTTTGGGCTTTAGCTGTGAGGGCCCCAAGAAGCTGGAAGGGGAAAGGCCTGAGCTGGCGAGCCATGGAGCAGAACGTCTCGATTACGACTCTGAAGGAGGCTACGGGCCTGGACGATCGATCCATCCTCTTCGTCCCACTCCTCTTTGCGGTGTACTTCGTGACCGTTGGTCTTGGAACAGCCATCGTGGCACGGCACACAAAACGAGCCAGAAAGGCGAGGGAAGACCAAGAAGCCAGGGCAGCCGTGACCCCAACTGTGCTGGGCAATCCGGGCTCCAGCGATGCAGAGGCAGCCGCGCTGCTGAGCCCGCGCCGAGGGAGGGCGGGGACGTGGGCCTGTCTGGGCCGCAAGAGGTCGGTTCAGATCTGCTTCGTGTGCACCTACAGTATTTGCATGATCGCCACGGCGGTGAGCCTTGCAACGGGTACCCTGTCCAAGAGGACGGGTCTGCATTGGGAGTGGTACCTGGGACTTCTCAGCCTCGCGTGCCTGTGGCACTTGCTTCAGGCCCTGTGTCTACCGAAAGATCACGAATATCCCCTGATGGCTTTTGCTGAGGCAACGCTGGCGGGCATGGTGCCCTTCATGTCAGACAACTTTGACACGCTGAAGGATGTTATCTTCGGAGGACTCTGCTGGCAGTCGGAACGGCCCGCCGTCAATGCCATGGCGTGGCTAAGCTGGCTGTACATCCCAGCATTCCACGCCTATCTCCTTCGGAAAAAGCGGGTGCTCAATGAACTGTCTAGCCACGTCCTCTCCGTCTGGACGATGGCGACGGAGACTGAAGATGCCCAGAGGCAAGAGCCCGAACGGCCCGACGAGACGGAAGGCCCCAAGAAAAGCGGCTGCTTCAGAAGGATGTGGCAGGACAAGGTGCTTCCCATCCTCTACCGACAGACGACGCCCACGAAGCAGCAGATGCTGCTCGTGGAGAACGCCCCGCAGGCGTTCATGGCGGTGCTGTACACAGCAGCAGAAGGTGGCAGCGTCATCGTGTCGGTGCTGAACATCGCGGTGCCGATTCTGCAGGTGGTCGGAGCCAGGGCTCTCTTCCCACGCCTTCGGGAAGCCGTGGTGCCCTGGTTCGTGAAGAAAATCAAGTCCGCCATGAAAGACGAGGATCCCTTAACCGTGGGACGACTCTGGAAAGAGGCCCGGGCAACCCTGAGTTTCAAATGCGGGATGCTCCGCGCTTGCTGTGATGTCCATGCTTGAGCCGAGTTAGTTGAGAGTAAAATCCGTGAGAAGGCAGACTTGGAGCGGGCTCCAAAGCTGCTGGCTCATGTCGTGCGTGTCCTCTCCGTCTTCGATGGCGAGCCTCAGCTCCTGGACTGGTTGGAGTCCATGACAGGCCCCTTGCTGTGCTTGTCTGGCGTTTTCACAGTCACAGTTTTTGCGAATGCTGTGCAGGGGACAAGAGCAGGGCACTACGGTACATCCAGCTCCTGAAGG